GGGAAAAGGCGGCATGAGGGGGAACGTGGCCAGACCCAGGGCAACGGTTGCAGGCGAACGCTGCTCCTGTGCTTCTGCAAAAGCACCCGGTGGGTTGGCTTTTGCTAAGCAAATAAAGCTTCATTAATTGTTGCTTTGCAAAACAGCACAAGGGGTAAACAGCTGCTCAGCTGCCAGAGCCGGGAAGGGGACAGCAAGAGGGGTGCCAGGCACCCCCTGCCCCTTCCCATCCCAGCACGCACGGAGGCTCAGGCAGAGCAAGGTCTAGAGGGCAAGGATGGACAAATGAAGGGAGATACAAAGCAAGCGGTGAGGGAAGGGAGGGCTGTGCTGAGCTGAAGCTGGCAGGGATGGCGATAACCATCCGTTCGCGCCCGCGCTGCCTGCGCAGCCTCAGCCCCAGAGGGCTCCAGCCCATCATGTCAAGCTAAGCACGAGCATTTCTTCCTGGACACCCTCCAGCTTCCCATCAAAAATGTCACAGGGCAGAAAGAAAACGCATCCCCGGCCCGTGCAGATTTCCGCAGGGGCTAATTGCTCCCATTAAACCTGTGTAGCCGTGATTCCCGCGCAGTGCCAGACGCGTCGGGAAGCCACGAGGGACACGCGGCTCCTTTCAAGACCGAATTCTCACAGCACTGGTTGGGGGGGAGGTTCAACTCCCTGGGAGGGGCACCTCCTGCTCACCCTGCTCTGGCCAGTGCCAAGCCTTGCTCTGGTCCTTCCCTATAGGAGGAAAGGCATGGATTTGGGAGAAAAAAAACACACATTGGGAAAGCTACAGCCAAGAGGCAATGCCTTAGAACAAGGACATACGTGCATTCAGATGGGCCATGCAGGAAGACCACAACAGATGCAGCTTCACCCTTCTTCCATCCACACCAATTCCAAAAAAAAAAATAAAATCTTCTTTTCAAGGCATTCGAGCTTTCAGAACTAAAACAGCTCCTGAAAGGATCAGGCTTGCCTTAAAACAAGCAAAATAAAGGAAACACTCCCAGCCCCTGCTGCCCCACCCAAGGCTGCTCCCACCCCTTCCCTAACCTGCCCCGGGCAGATCAGTGCCTGCAGCTGTGTTGCCTGCGGGCTCACCAGCTCCACCTGCCGCAGCCGTGTTTTGGGGGAAATTCAGGTGCATTGTGGTGATGCTTATTGTCACCAGAGAGTCATTTTCTGCAAGTAGCCCCAGGGGCAGCGAGGGGACACGTGTCCTGTGGGACAGGGCCACCAGCTGAAGCCAGCTTCTCCTCCCTGGGGTTATTGCAGGTGACATGAGATGATGCAGCACCAGGGAGAGCTTTAATAAATTATGTATGCGCCGTTCCCCTCTAAATAGGATCTCTCTGGTTAATACTTTCCTCTGCCTGTCTAATCCAGACTTGACTTTGGACAGCGGGTACATCCCGCT